GATTTCCCACTTTCATGTGGTCAAGCTTTTGCTCAGTGTATCCTTTTGGAGGCATCAACCAAGCAGGAGCACTGACGGACTGAAGGAAGCCTGGCTAAGAGTTAATCATCTAATACTTAATAAAAGTAACAGCTGTCAGTGGTTATTTGTATACCTGCAGGTCCTTTGGCTCTGAAAGGTTTGGAAGGCAGTCATGCCAACTTGAGGGAGAAATTACTAAAGTTCACTCAGCATGGCTCTAGGGAGGCAGCTCCCTGCAAGAATTGCACATCCCATGTTTCAAGGATTTTCAGTAGCTTCCAGTCCAAGCGATTGCCTCCAAGGTGCAAAGCCAAACTATTTTGGTACCTGGCTAACATCTCTGGGTGTGTCATGGTAGCAGTGTGGCTGCAGCCAGCAGCCTGCAAGAGAAACAGAGAGGAAAGTGTTCAGATCTTGCAGAGTGTCAGCCCTAGAGGCATCACAGGGAGTCACTAATGCTTGTGAAGTGACTGGGTAAAAGGGTGTGAGCAAGTAGGCTGTGGCTACGGAAGAGTTATTAATGGCAACTGTAGGAGTAGTTGGCAGCATTGGTGGCTTCCTTGGCCTCAGGTGGGGCTGGTGTCCTCAGGTATGCAGAGCTCTGGCAAGACTTGTGAAAAGCAATCCATGGACCAAAGCAAACCAGCAGTGGTAAATTTACTTGAGGATAGGCTGATCAACATAAATGTGTATGCATAAGCTAATCTTGGCCTATTGCTCTAGCAGCTCCCTGCAGTTGTCATTTTTGAAGAGCCGTAGTGAGGAAAAGGGAGCTGGTCGCTCCCACACAGACCCCACTGCAGCTTGAGGTTTCATAACGGAATTAAGCAATTTGTCATGTGTTGCCATGGAGACCATAAATCACTGTCATGCTGGGCTTTTCTGTCAGGGAGCTGATGCCTTTAATTGCTATAACCTCAGCTGTGAATCCAGAGCTTGATTCTGAGCTCTTTACCTGAGATGATGGCTTTGCCCTGGGAGCTCTGCCTCTGGGAGAGTGGAGCTGGAGCCAGGGCAGGAGTGCTCATACATTAACTGTCACATATCTGGGGCAGGTCTTGCTGTTGTGGCACAGAGCCCCACCTCTGCTCCAATCAGCATGAGTTATAATGGCTTACAGAAGCTGCTATCTACCTCATTTATACTCAGGGCAAGTTTCCCCATGGTGATGTGCAGCACATCCATGGTATTGTGACCCATTGGTTGCATTAGCTACGCTGAACTTCTCCATTATCAGCTTCATGTATCTCTCAGCCCCTTCCACTCCACCCATGTCCAGACAGGTAAATGGGGTTTTACTCCATTCACTCTGCCTCTGTACTTGAAATCCTTCTTGCTGAGGAGTGCTCAACCTCAGTGGCACTGATGGGCCACTGTTTCTCCTTCTCCTTGCTGTCTCTCCTAAAAGTGGCCATGTCTCTGTCTCAGCGTTAGGGGTTTGTGCTGTCAGAACACAGATCTTACCAGCATGTGTGGAGGGGGGCTGCATAAATCTGCCTCCAACCAGTGACTTAACCAGAGCTCTGCCAGAGTCTGTATGCATCGCTCTCTTGGCTGCTTCAAAATAAACAGCTGTATAAATTGTAAGATGATTATCATCACAGCTTATTAGTGTATTACCACATGCTGCTTTGTATTCAGACAATAGATAAAAAATGTCTGTTTTGTTTTTCTCAATCAAATCTACAGCAAATACATTCCTCCTTGCTCCCTTCTGAGAAAGGCTGTGTCAGTACTCCTGCCAAAAACATATGAAAATCAGCCCGACTCTTGTGCACTTGCCCGTGGCGATGTAACCAGCCAGCATGAAGCTCTGCACACCTTTGTAAGTGGTTAATGCTTTCCAGGAGGTGACATATGTTGTTTTCAAGAGTTGATTTATTAGATGGTTGAGATTATAATCTCATCAAGGCGCGATCTGTCTTCTTGCTTTGATTGTCAAGGCAGGTGGAGGTGTAGAGATATGGAAGTACTTGGATTTTGGAGGTTTGCATTATGTGCTGGTAGGTTTCAGAGCACTGCTTTATCTTCTGAGATGGAAACTCTTTCGTGAACACTTGTGGTGTCTGTCGAAACACGTGACTGTCTGGCTTTGAACCCAGAATGCGCATTCATGTCTAGAGTGCACAAGGACACTCCTTAGGAAATACTCCAGTGATTTGGGCAGTTTGGCTGTCATTGCCTCAGGGGACCTTCAGCAGTGTGCTGAGGATGGCACAACTGGGCAGAATGCTGGGGCCCCACTGCTGCTGGTGAATGCTGACACAGTAGAAACACCCATGCAGAAACGTTCATGTGCTGAATCTTGACACGAGGATAGAAGGTTTTGTCCATTCATGCTGACATCACCTAAATGCAGTTTTTGTACTCAACAAACTAGCTTACAGTGCCTGATTGATTTTTTTTTTTTTTTTTTTTTTTTTTAATTTTATTTTCCCAGTTATATTTTGGTTGGTTCTCTGCAGGCTATATGTTGCTCAGTCTGGAACTTAAACATATGGTATAATGAAGTAACTGCAAGTAAACACTGATTTGACCCCTTACATGTTGGACAGTCAGTTTGTACAATGGGCTAAATATTATGTTAGTACTTTGGGAAGTGTTCCATGCAAGATAAGCTCAAGGCTTCTCAGGAGGGAGTTAAAGGGGCTGGTACTAAATGCTGCTGAGCAGTAGCTTGCGGTTTTGTGAGGAGGTCAAAACTGTGCACAAACCAAGTGTGGTTTTCACATCTGTGTCCTGTCCTCTGCATTGTGAGCAACAATCGGTCTTTCATACGGCACACTGGAGACGCACGGGGTGGCTGACTCCTGGGCACTCCAGTGTAAATAAAGCAAGGGTGAAGCTGCGGCCACAGGCAAAGCAAAAAAAATTGTTGTCAAATGTGTTGGGAAGTGATTGAGGACAGCTTTTATACAGTCTTAGTTCTAAGGAACCTCTAAGGATCTTCTGACTCTAGCATGATAATGCTGAAATAAAGCTTGATCTTGCAAGCCAGCATGAGAGAGATGCTTGAAATTGGTAGGTTCCTGCAAACCAAGCATGCTGCCTGTTGATAGTGTGATCTCGTAAACATGAGAAAAATCGCTTAGTAAAACAGAGGTAAGAAACTTTCCCTCAGGATTGTACTGAGGAGTTGAAATCAGAGTGGGTGAGAACAGAGCTGTGTTTCATCACCTTCTCTCCATATATCTGCTGTTGCTAAAGGTGGAAATGCTGTTTTCAAGAATTTTTCCAGACAGTTTAGACACAAGCTGGCTTGGTTGTGTTTCTCCTTACTCTGAAAACGTTGGCTTGTGTCAACTGTTTGACAAGAAGTCTTGGCAGTTCCCGCCAGCCCCAGCGATCTCACCTCTGTGGTAACCCCTTTTCTTTTCAATAGGGCTTTGTCTTTAGAGGAAAATTTAGGATGGTTCCTGTGCATTTGGCCCCAGAAGATGTCTATTACATAGCCTTAGTTAGAGGTCAAGGCGCTCAACTTGTACCAACATAGAGCTTATGCATATGGCAAGTTATTCTGTATTTTCAGAAGCACCTCTGACACAAGCTGTACTTTATCATACATAAGGTAGCGTTGGGCAGAAAGGAGGAGAGAAGACTCTGTCATTTAAAAAACAAATAAATAAACCTTGTTCTTATGTCTGTTTGCAGGCAAAAATGCGTGTACACAGTATGGTGAATCATTTGCATTATCTTTATGTTGTCTTTGAGCATTGCTGTGACTTGAACAGCATTCTCACAGCACACTTTGGGGTCACTTGATGACACCAAATATTTCAGGGGATACATTTTTTATTACATCTTAGATTCTACAGGCTGCTTTGGCCTGATAATCTTTTTTTCCGTAAGTGAAACAAACTCAAATTTGAATATTCACATCTGATTTTATTTTGCTTCCTTTCATGTGTTTGCCTGAATGCATGGGTGTGTAGTGGGGAGGAGAAGCTGGTTAGCAGAGCTGTGAAAAGCTCTTTGTTGAAGGGTAAGATCTTTGCTATATAATAAGGAACTCAGGACTCCCAAGCACTGTAAGTGAGAACTGCCTTTATGGTTCAATAATCTGCAATAAACTGAAATAGTGCTTTGGGACAGAACTAGAGAAAGCGAAGACTAAACTTGGAGGGCCATAATCATAAAATGGCTGAGGTTGGAGGGAATTTTCAAGATCGTCTAGTTCCAACCCCCTGCCATTATTAGCATTGCCAGCCAACAAAGCTAGGAAGTGCTCTTAGTTGAGAAAAATCCCTACAGTTACTGAGAACCCCCAACAAGCTCTTGGTAGCTTAATGTGGATACCAGTCAGGATGCTGATAGTTTATGACAGTCTGAAGCATTCCCTCCAACACAGCCTCTTTGCACTCACATGTGCTGCTGCCCAGTTGCACCCAGTGACTTTGTTTTGTCTCTTAAAAAAAAAATCAATTCTTCTGCTGTCATCTTGGAGGACAGGCCACACACAAGGGGAAGCTCATCTCTTGATTCTCATGGCTGTGTCACAGCCACAAAACCAGCCTTCCTGCCAGGGCAGGTTTTTTTTTTTTTTTTTTTTTTTTTCCAAAAGAGCAAAACAAAAAACACCTGTAGCTCCTGGCTTGCTGCCCTCTGTGCGTGTTTCTTGGTTTTCATTTCTCAGACTTGAGGCTGAGAGAGAGGAAAGCAGTTAAGTGTGTTCTTGTCTGCCAGCAGGATGTGTTTGGTGACGATTAGCTAGCATTATAGACTGGGACCTGTGTAAATGAACTGCAGCTTGGTGCTGTCTGCCCATGGAAGTGATGGGCCTGGGATGTGAGGGAGCTGTTGGGAGGGCACACGCTTTTGCTGTGGGCCAGAAAGACTGTGAGTGCTAGCATGGAGGGGAGAACCCCTAGTTCCCAGCTGTGGAGCTCTTCTTCACTTCTCAGGCACGTGGTCAGAGTTGCCTCGTGCACATTGCTCTTGTTTTTCACTAACAAGTAATCAGAGATGGTCTCTTTCTCCAGCAGGTTTAGCACAGTGGAAACATGGCTACCAGCGCTGTTCCCAGCGAAAACCTTCCCACGTACAAGCTGGTGGTGGTTGGAGACGGCGGCGTGGGGAAGAGTGCTCTCACCATTCAGTTCTTCCAGAAGATTTTTGTGCCAGACTATGACCCAACCATTGAAGATTCCTACCTGAAGCACACAGAAATAGACGGGCAGTGGGCAATTCTTGATGGTGAGCAAGCCACTCTTATGGTCCCATTTCTTGCTAAAAATGAGAACAGGTAGATCTCCGTATCTTCCACAGCATGTTGTACTTCTGTGTTCCTCCTGTGCTGCAGTCTGCCAGGGATTTTATTACAAGCTGTCCTGTGAACAGTAGCATGTGGTCTGCAGCTGATCTCCAGAAAAGCTTCTACGTCTGTCTGCATTGGTTCCAGTTCTGCATAGAGCTGTTTCTTGAAGGAGTGTGAAAACCAGTAGATTGTGTTGAGTGGTGGTTTCCAGGCTGCTTCCATCTATCTTGTCAGTCTTCAGAATGACCAAAGGGCACCTATTTCAATCCTTTGCATTTAGCAAGGAGGATTTGTTAGGGTTGTGTGGACAGGCTGTGAGCCACTGTGGTGACCTCCTCTGGTAGAGTTGACCTAAACAGGCTTTAGGGAGCACGCCATGTGCTTCAACAGTGCTGAAGGGAAGAAAATAGCATATAACTTCTAGTTAAATCTATGCTTTCTTCTCATAGGTAATGCTGAGCTGCTGTGTTGTTTTGCTGAGAAACTCTAGACTTTCCCATTAGTATAGTGTCTGCTCTGCTGTTCGCACGGGTGATTGCTGTAGCTGGCCGTGTTTCAAAAACGACCACCCCACAGCTCTGCCAACTGTGAACTCCACAGCATGGAGCTTTAGGCTGTGTCTGTGCATGGTTATACCATGCTGAAAATGACATTTGGGGTAAGCATCCCTGGTAGATAGCTTATGTCCTGGGAAATACTGATAAGAGGGCAAATGAATAAGGGCTATAACTAGAACGAGCATTTAATCAGAGCTCATCCACTGACAGGGAAGAATTGTAGTATCTCTCAACTCCCATCTTTCAGGTGTGATGTTCTCATATCTAGTTACCTATATCACTTAAATATGAGTAGCAGTCTAAAGAGCTTCTGTAACCTGGGTTTTTCAGTTCTCTGAAGAAAAATTGTTTTGTTTTGTTTTGTTTTTTTAATAATTTTTCAATTAAAAAAAAAAAAGCCAACAGCAGAGCAAAAAAACGCAACCACCCATTTGATTCTGCAGGTGAGGAAGAAGCTGTGTTTTTACCTAAAACTGACTTTTCTGTCTGTGCTGCATAAGACAGATGAGAGCTCAGCAGTCTTGCTGTCAAAATGCTAAAAATTTTGTTTGGCTTTATATAATAATTAGGTTGTGCATGAAGTAAGCAAGTATTTTGTGCCTTAGTTACCCAAGTGCACTGAACCAAATCTAAGCAGGCTTCTACCTCAACAGTCTTACCATGAAAACATTCAAAATGACTGTTGTCTTAACATATGTAAAATTGGTGTACAAGGACAGGAAAAACAAGAGATTGGCATCAGTGGTGGAACATGGAGGGTTACACAACTTACCCTGAAGGCCATAAATTCAGTCTAGTTGAGATCTTAGTTGGACTTTTAAGGGTTTATCAGATGTAATTTTTTGAGTACGGATGGCCCCCATGACCTGCAAGGTGTTAAAGAACAGCCTTAACTCAGTATTATTTTTTTTAAATATGCCTTAATCTTGCCAACATTTGCTCGTTTACATGTCACAGTTGGTCACTAATGGACATCTACTTCACAAATATTCCCTTGCAAGTATGTCTCATGATGTTATCTGCATCAGAGATACCTGCTCTCAGTTGACCATCACATAATGTACTTCTGTAACTGTTTGTTAAATGCTAGTGCTGCTTTAAAAAATAAATAAATAAAAAGATCCTGTTATAAATTAAATCCATTCTCTCATGTATATCTCTTTAGTCCATAATCCAACCCTTTAAAATTAATTACCTTTATTTTTCTCTGGTATGCCTCATTCCATTCTTTTAGTATCAGCTACTGTACACGTTGGTATTGACTGAAGCAGCCTTTCAGGCATCTTTCACTGAACATTTTTATCCAAGAAAAATCTGACCTGAAGTGGGAGTGTGGAAGGAGGTTGTTTTCCAACAAGCATAAGCTTAGCCTTTAGCATCTGCCCAGTAGAAACAGGGCCTGAAGACTGACTATCACATGTGTCTCCTGCCACAGCTCTGTGTCATGGGACTTGGATCTAAGACATTCTCATGCACTTGGGCAGCTGCTCTTTTTGTGGTTACACATGGCTGCATGAATCAATTAGGGTATAAAATTAGGGACAATCGTGATAGAAAGGGTACAGATTCATCATGATGAATTCTAGACATTCCAGTTGGCTTTATGGCTAAGTTCTTTATGGGCAGTGTTTTTTTTGTGTGTGTTTTTTTTTTTTTTTTTTCCTCAGAGTTTGTTGTGGGGGAGGAAAGGGAGGTAACCAGCAGAGACTTTTGCCTCACCCTGCCCACCTTCAAAATAGGAAACAGTATTAGAAGATAAGACTGCCTAGTGAGGGCGTAGTGTGAGGGGTACCATAAGTTTCTAAGTTTGTAGAAATAGTTGATTAAAATATATCTATATTGGCATCCAACAACTTAATAAATAAAAAAAACCAAAACATACAGGCCGTTCTCTTCCTGGCTGTAGCCTGAGCAGTTCTGTACAAAGTGTCCAGCACTTAATATCTGCACTAGCATTATGTTGGTTAAAAACAAAATTAACAAAAAATGCACTAAAAAATCCCCACCTTGTGCTATTCAGCTTCCCTCTGTGAAAACCTACACATTTATTTGATAGCATTATAGCACCAGGTGGCAGCTTGATTAAGTGTTTGACTTGGGTTTTTTTGTTTTCCATTGAGGTCTCTCATTGATAGTAGACTTAAACGGAATGGGCTTTTATTTCAGATTTTAGACCTTAGAGACAAGCCTGAGGTCATACTCATCTTTTACCCATTTCCTCTCTGGCATAAGTGAGTATCTGTCCTTATGCTCTTAAGAGAGAAGAATCTGTGATAATTTCATGCCTCCCAGGACACTGAGCAACCTGTACTTGGTGTATTCAAGTCCAGCTTGGCTTGAGTGCAGAAATACTTGATTGGTGGCCCTAACATCAGTTTTCTGGGACCATTGATTCACTCTTTGGAGGACAAGTGCCATAGAGTGGAACAAGGCACTTAACTTGCGTAAGAGATGTACAGGCAGCTTGTGGCTAGCCCTTGTTTTAGATTTCTGCATCTCCAACAAGGCTTTGAGATCAGCCTCCAATTTTCTCTGCATGTGTTATCCTCATTTATTCCTTGCTGTTCATACTGAAATCAGCATGGTGATATTCTTAGTTAAATGCATCCACATGCAGGTGCTGCGTAGAAGCATCAGGTCAGAATTAAGTGGGGACCAGGGTTAATCTGCTTTGATTAGGTGTTGCTCCAGTTGAGTTGCTGTCATTAATTTGGCCTGCTCCCTTCTGTGTGCAGGCTGACTTAGCAGAGGATTCTTTTGATGTGGCTGTGAAGTGTCAATCTGGAATTATTCATCTGGGCATGAAACCAAAAGTGGAGTATCAATACAGGAAAAATTCCCAATGGTTCCAAATTCCTTGTAGTTCGTAAACCATGTGGAGGTAAAAAGGTGGTGATGAGGAGAGGAAGTGATGGCCACAGACAGATGGCTTGGGCATGGTGATGAATTGGGCTAAACCCTTAGCTGCTGGTAGAGCTGTGCCAGTTGGTAGCAGCAGAGCAAGGAATTGTGCCTGTGTGTTGGGTAACTGTGGTCTCTTTCTCCTCTTTTCTTCCACCAGAATCATTAAGATGAAATTCCCACTGACCACAAGTTGTCTTCCTACTACTTTTCTTTAGTTTTCCCTTTTTTCTTTTCTTTTTTTTTTTTTTCCTCCTCTCTCTTTTTACAAGTCCCCATCTCAGTCCTCGTGTGTCCTTGCATTGGGCTGGACCTGCTGTGCATCCCCATGGAATAGCAGCAAGCACTGTTCTTTTCTCTGGGTTCTCTTTCTGTTCTCTCCACCTATGTCACCCATGCATTCCTTTTTGCAGAGGGTTTTTGCTGCTAGTCACCTCTGGACAGGCTGTCTGCTTTTCTCTTTGGGAAGCTTGGGAACAATTCAGCCACGAGGCCAAAGGGAGAGCAGAGGTCACTTTAGACTCGCAGGCGAAATGGTTGCTTTGCAGCTCACTTGTTTTATTTCTTTAAACTTTGGGTAATGTCATTGAAAGAATTAAAATTCAAGTAAAGTTTGTGCTTTCATTCTCTCATTTGTGTATACAGTATTTTTCCTCCCTTGATTGCTTGGATTTTGCAACCTTGAAGAGGGCTTTTTGTCTTGGGTTGTGGGGATATTTTTTTTCCTGCCAGGAAAATTTTGGTGTTGCAACATGGAAAACACAAGGCTTTTGAATGCTTGCCGTTTGTTAGAGAAAGAACTCCTTTAAGGGCTCCCATCTTTATTCTGTATGTTGATGTGGCAGCCTTTCTTCTGAAGACTCCCTTTTTCTCTTTCCTTAAAGAAAGGGCAAGAATTCAAGTACTCGGGTTTTCCACATTATAATATCTGTATATTTAGGGCACGGAAGAAGGGCTTATGAGAACCCCAGTGTTTCCCATCACATGTTTATCTCTGTGGAGGGTTCTCACACTAGGGGCAGTGTGGCTGTATCTCAGCAGACCATTGACAATCGAAGAGATCAAGCAGAGCACTTTGCCTCTCCTTGTGTGTGGCACAAGCACCTTCTATATCTCTGCAGGGTGATTTGGGGTGCAGGAATGCAACATACAAGCTGTGGGGCCCCTCTGCACTGTCTGCTCAGCTCCCAAAATACCAATTTCTCAGCTAACCAAATGTCCCTGAGGACTGCTCTCTACCAGACTGCTGCTGATGGAAGGGGTAAAGATTGGACATGACTTTCTTCAGCCTGAAACTGTTAGGTTTGTCTTGTCAGTTCAAGTTAAATTTCCCTTGACCAGAGTTACCAAGCCACAGAGTAGCTGGAAATGGAGATTCTCTGGCCCCACCTTTGGAAGCAGAGCTGCTGTGCGAAGAGAAAATCAAGACTCAGAGAGAAGTGCCAAGAAGAGTCTGGCTCTGTAGCCCATGATGACAGCATTCCCCTGATGGTGCCACATTCCTTGTTCTGCTCTTTGCTCCAGGGACTTTTTCTGTATTTTGCATTAAGTTGTTGAAGAGGCAGAAAATGCCTGGAGTCAGACTTCTTGCTGCTGCTCCTTTCCCTGGCTCCTGTCTGCCTGCAGACCCATCCGGCCCCTTAAAGGTTTGCATGTAGGCTTTGTGTACGTAGTTGAAGGGACTGCTTGCAAAAATCAGATCATGCACACTGTACTTGCCTTTCTGAGCAGGAAATCAGTGTGGGCATGAAGAACTGTCCTTCCCTGAGCTGTGTGGTGCACAACCACCTTTCTAGAATACAAGGTGTTCTGAGAGCTGCTTTTGGGTCTGGCCACAGCTATGTGTGGATGCCACTAGTATGTTACTTTTTTTTGAATGGAAGATAGGAAAAAGATTTAATGTGCTTTAAGTGCCTGTCTTGTCTCCTTTGGCCCCTTTGGTGAGGCAGTGGAGGAACTCTCATGTTGGTCTGTATACCTAATTGCCCAATGTACAGATAAAGACACAGGAGGGAGTGTTGCCTTGGTGTGGATGAAGAGGAACTCTCCTGCACAGCCAGATCTGAGCTGCCTCAAGGGCTGGGAATGCCATTATTTAATCTGAGCTAAATCCAGTGGAGGCTTTGGGAAAAGTAATGTCATTGGCTTGAATTTCATAGTTGGTATGTCTCTGTCCTTGGCTTAGATTTACATGTCTGTGTCTCTGGATGGGCGCTCAGAGCACTCTCAGTTATAGAGATTTGCCACACAGAAAACATCTATAGTGCTTCTATATACATCTGAGTGCTTCTATTTTGGGATTTCTAGGTTCCTATGTCTACTCAGATGTGCTTTCTCTGAGCATCCGTGCTCTTATCCAACCCATCACAACTCACAGGGAAATGGTGTGTAAAGCTCTAAGGATTAACATAGAGTTAATTACAGGTGGAAAGCAGAAAAGGCTATCTCTTTGCTTAGCAACCTTTCACTCACAGAGCAAGAAATCTCATGCTAGGCTCTGAAGGCTAATTGCTCTTAGTTTATTCTCTAGCTGATTTGCATTAAAGCACTGTAATAAGACTTTCGCATTGCCTACTTTGGATGTCTCTTCCTAATTCAGACAGTTGTTGGCTTCTCACTGCTCACCCATAGGTTTTCATTAGAGTTTCTCCTTCCTTCCTCTTCAATGAAGTTTGTGGAAACTAAACCACACGTGCTGTCGGAAGGCCCTCTCTGTACTGCACAGTCCATGAATTTGATTTCAGTTCTTGGAAGAACGAGGCAGGAGAAACCCGCTGTGCCTTCCTCCAGCCTTATTTCCACTTTTGCTTTTATGTGTTGCCAGGGTGGCAACCAACAGTCAGAGTACCAAGTGCTGATTTTAAAGAGTACTAAGGGAATAGAAGCTCACAATTCTTTTCTACTTATGATTATTTCTAAGTCTCCTGACATCCTGTTTGCAAAAACTAGGATTTTAAGAGGAAGCATGCTAGCTGAAGTCCTAAATCTCCTCACCCTGTTGGGAAGCCAGCCAAATCACCTTCCATGTTTCACCTTCCCAAGATTTCTGCTTGCTGTTTTCCCATTTCAGTATATTACTGTCCTTAAGGTTTTATGCCAGAGCATTACTCTAGAATCAAAGCTGCTTGCCTCTAGCCCTCTTTTGGAGCTGATGCTTTCCAGGATGTGACCGAGTTCTCCCTACAAAAGGATCCCAATTGCACTCTCCGCTCTGATTTCTGTGGTACACAAATTGTGAAAACCATTAGGATATAAAGGGCTGTCTTTAAGAAGAGCACATCTAAAGCTGAAGCAGGGACGACTTCTGGCCAAATCTATGACCCTTAAATTTGTGTGAATAGGAAATTAACTTTTACTGCTGCGTGTCTTCCTGCCTAAATTTCCAAAGTGCCATTTTCAGTGCTGTCTGGACTTGTTCTCCTTTCCAAGAGTGCTGCAAATGAATTCCCTGTAAATAGTGGCTGCTGACACAGCAGCCCTGTTTGTGTTTAGTGTTAGGAAGGGGGGGAATGGCAGGAGAGCCCAGCCTACTGCTACAAGCTGTCCCACTCCTCCACACATTGGGTGTGTGCGTGTGTGTGTGTAAGAAGGGAAGGGAGTGTATGTAGGGCTGGCAGTCAGCTCCCATCGCTTCCAGCTGGTTCAAGAGTCAGATGAGGGCAGCCCAACCTCTCCTTACAGGTTGGGTGGATAGGAAGGATTGATTTCCTCTTCCATTCCAGCCGCGTAGTCTTGGCCTTCTTCCATAGTAGCTCTTCTGCTCAGGGTGTAGAAATTCACCAGTGCATGCAGTGTCTTTGGGTTGTTTTTCTTTTCTTCCTTTTATCTTCTTTTCTTCTTCCTTCCTGTTCTCTTTTTTTCTACAGTCCTTAGAAACAGCCTGGATGCTTTTGAGCTGAGACCTTTATTTCCTAGACTTAAGGGAGGGAAGTGGGATAAAAAGCTATGAAAGGATACTCATGACTGAGTAGTAAGTTCTAGCTACTCAGCAAATAAGCCCCAATCTCGGGCTCTTTGTAAGAGCCTGGAAGCTCTTTTTATCCTTCAGGTTTTCAAAGTGAGGGGAGGCAAATGAATACGATTGAGGAGTTTTAAGGGGTCTGCCATTGCCAAGTACCTCCTCCAGCACAGCTGCCTTTCCTCTAGACACAGAGTACTGTGGTGTGCTGTGTAGCATGTTGAGCATGTCCCCACATGGCCACCCTTGCTGATTCAGCATGTAATGCTGGCAGTGAAGTGGGCTTTATCCAAGCCTCATCTGGAAATGAGGGCAGCTGGAGTACTTACCCTGCAGGGAGTGTCTTCCTAGGACTGTGGGCCTGCTTGGACTAGAAAAACTTGCATCAAGCCCTGCTGCTCTGTCAGCAGTACATACCTGACACTGTCTCCATCTACAAGTGCCCAGGGCTTTCCTTGTCACTCGTGGGCAGTAGATGCTAACTCTGCAGCTGTACAGGTGAAAACAGTTTTCCTGCTCTGTACCATCTTTCTCTGAAAGCACATAATTGTGTAGAAATAATATCCAGGCAGTGAGAAAGGGAAAATGCATGCAGCTGTCACTCCAGGTTATCTCCCAGCTCTGCTTCACCACAGTCTCTGGGTTGTCCCTGACATTTAAATTGTCATTTATTTGCTCTTTGCTTTTCCATGCAAGGATCAGTGAGAGCAGGAAGAGGGTTGGAGGGCTGGGCTGCAGGACACTTAGAGCCGTATCTTGCCAGAGAAGTAGTTCCCCAGGTTCCGTGGGTAGGATTTGATACTTTGAATGAAACTAATATCTATATAGCCCTCTTCTATATCACTTTCTTCCTCCAACTTGCTTTCACAGAATCTTGCAGCCTTCGGGAGGACATGTCCAGCAAGAGGCAGAAGGGCCATGCAGCACAGCAGCTGCTGTTTCACTCAGTAACTAAACACCTTTCTCTTTTGTCCTAGTTCTGGACACGGCAGGCCAGGAGGAGTTCAGCGCGATGCGGGAGCAGTACATGAGGACTGGAGATGGTTTCCTTATAGTCTACTCTGTGACAGACAAGGCCAGCTTTGAGCATGTGGACCGTTTCCACCAGCTGATCCTCAGAGTCAAAGACAGGTGGGTGCTGCACCACTGGCGCTCTCCAGCCCTGCTGTGGAGAGGCTTCAGTCCCTGAAGTCCACCTCCTGCTTGTTTCAGGGCAGCTTCTTGTGTGCTCTTCGTAGGTTTATAGGTCTGCATGTGGGATAAGATATATCCTTTATGATAACTTTCTTATTTGCATTTCATGTTTGGAAAAGTTTGATGGATGGAATCCTATAGTGAAGTGAAATGGTTTTGGAAGAGAAAAGCTCCAGCCAGAGTGCCTGGTCATACCAAACAAACCTTAAAAGGTTCTACATGATATGGGCCTGGGAACAAATATCTTGGAGGGGAAAATGCCTCAGATTGGGAGGAATTGTGTTTCTCAAAAGGGGATAAATTCAGTTAATTCATTGTGCTATGTAGCAGCTGTTTTCAATGAATGAAACATCTCAGCAGGGTGGGGGGAAAGCAAGACTGGTCGGCTGCTCCACTCCCTGTGTACATGTGGGAGAAATTAGCACTGGGGGATTACTATGGTGAGCATACCCATCCTGACAGACCTAAAGGAAGCTACCAGGGCCTTATCTTTCAGATAACTCCCTCTTCCCTTCCCAGTTCAAGGGATGGTGAGTCCTTCCACACTAGGTGGAGTGTGAATTAAGCCTTATTTGTCTACAGCTTTTAAACATTTAGTTGTTCCGTTCATAATAGCTGTTAATTATGGAAGTCATCAAGAAAAGCCACCGGAGGGTTCGGACCTTGTTGCTGGCTTCCTTTCACAGCTCTGAATAACTTCCCCACAGGAAGGGTGGATGCGTATCATGTGAGGTTCACAGCTGACAGCTCTTCCAGTAAAGCGTCCACAACAGAGCCCATGAGAGTAGAAAGTAGAGGAAAATCCACCCTTTGATTTCATCTAAATGAACAAAAACGTCAGTCACTCAGTCTGCCTCCCAGATAATGATGGTGTTTCCTTCACTGTTGGCTTAGGGCAAGTTCACCCTGCTTGTGAAAGATGAGGAAGACAGCAAAGTGTTTCCTGTAACCTGCTGCAAGCAGATGTTGGTTTTATCTAACTTAGCTTTGTGAAAATAGGATGCAGTGTTCGTTGTTTTGCTTTGGACTGAAACTTCTAGCCCTCCTTATGCCGTACAAACAAGCAGCAGCATGTGAGAACCAGGAAGTGAAACAGCCTCGTGAAACTGCTTGTGTTTCCCCATGCTGGAGCATATAACGCCAGGAATGTAATGCTTCATGCAGAGATTGTGCAGTGATTTTTCTGAACAGCATAAATAAAAAAAAAATCCTGCCAGGCATGTGCCCAGGTTTTCAAGCTAGCAGTCAGTTTTGAGGACTCCAGATCTAAAGCAATTGCAGGCTACTGCTTAAAACCTCTGTCCCTTTTCTCTCCATAATCTTAATTACAGTAAAGCTTCCAACTGTAGCAGCTTGTCCAAATAGCAGTCACACAACTCACAGCAAAGTCCCCGCAGAGTTTTATGCCCAGTGTAAACAAGGCAAATGAGATGCTGTCCAAATGTAATCCTTCTCTTACCAGTATGTCACAAGCCAAAAGGAATCAAATAATCCAAGCAAGTGCTTTGCTCCAGAATAGAGAGTCAAGATGTATCAGTGCTCAGGTGTAAATGTTAAATCAAATGCACATTATCAGAATCAATAACTGTAAGATCCATTTAAAATGCAGAGTACAGTACAGTGCATTTCCAGCCAGAGCAATGGGCAACATGCCAGGGAGAAGATGGAGCCCTTATCATCTCAATGAAAAATGACACAGAAACTCTGTTTGAAAATCCAGGGAAATCTTTTATACAGCAGTGAGTGCAGCCAGCTGCTCCTTACTCTAATAAAATCAGCTCCGTTACAGCAGAGAACACTGCTGTATGAGAATCATTTTAGGAGGGCTTAAAGCTAACAATAAGAGAATAATTAACAATAACATCAGTTATTGGCAGTTACCTCTTCCTTCATAACAGCGGGTAAAGGCCATGCAGCACAGCTTTGCTCTACGTAATGCAGCTGGAGGAGAGGCTCTCGTATGGGAGGTGCAGCAGGAAGGAGCCATGCTGCCAGCACATCCCGTAGCACAATCTGGCTCAGTGTAATCCCTGGAGCTGCACAGACCTTTACCATCATCCACATGCCTTGTCAGGAAAGCCTGTACAACTCTTCCCTTGTAGTGTCTGAAGACAATCACTTATATTCCTGGTAAAGAAATACTGAGTAGTAATACCAAGCAAGATGGTTTTGGTACAGAAGAACTGTTGTTCATCATGCTTTTGCTCTATGATAAGAAGCAGAAGATAGTAGATAACAGCATCTGGAAATGTAGCAGGACTGGGTTCTTGTTCCCAGAACAGCCTCCTCCCAGCTACCACTGCTGGTCTTGGGGTAATTACAGTCATTGTCCCATCATTTTCTTCCCAATTTGATGTCACCCTAAGTGTGAACTCCAAGTCTGTCTTTTCTTCCCCTATGGTTGTTTAGAGTGGATAAGCATTGTGCTGTTCTCCACAGAACATGAACTGACACCAATTCCTCTGACCCTTTTTTTTTTTTTTTTTTTACCTTGCAGTGATGAGCAGCTGTAAGGTATGCTGCTATTGAGATGCCTTAACTGTTATAAAAGAGTCCTGTTTCTTTGTTCAAGATCTGCTTCCATGCCTAATTTCCTTCTATAGTGGCAGACTAACTGTAGTTCACTCCATTACTCAGCATTATGATGGCATTTAATAAGCTCCTGAAATCCCTGTGAAATAAGGGTGGATGTGTGCATGTTGTCAAGGTAAATTTTTCTGAACGTGCATAGTAGTTCAGTCTGGGGGCTGATATGTGTTTGTATGATCTATCCTTATATTTCCTTATAATTACATGGTACATCTGTAGCTGAAAATGCTTGATTCAGTATTAGAAAGTGAAACTTAGACTTAGTGTTTTGTATTGTAGCTTCCTAATAACTGTTTCATTTTCTTTTTTTCCAGGGAGTCCTTTCCAATGATTTTGGTGGCAAACAAAGTTGATCTAATGCATTTACGGAAAATTACCAGAGAACAGGGAAGAGAAATGGCAACAAAACATAATGTAAGTCTGTAAAATTGTTTAATTGCTTGCTTTAAGTACCACTACAGGCATTCAGAATTGAATTACCTGCTTATATGGAGCTGAATTAAAGTATTTTTCTTAGAATTGAACATTCGCAATTGCGTTTTCGTCTACCACAAAGCAGTAGCTATAGAGATCCCTTGGAGTAGGGTCAGTTCGTTACTGGAACTAGAAGCTCTATTGCATGCCAGGCTGCAGCAAATCTGTGGCTGTCACAAAGTCATGTGTACAAAGCTGTACGCAAACAGTGAGAAATGTGAATGTTCAAAATGAGGAAAGAAAGCACAACCTCTGGGACTGAAAAAGCAGAGTCAGAAGTTAGGAAGTACATCCAGGTGCCCACATGAAATAAACTTGTTAAAGATAATGTAGTTAAAGGGTTGTGAAGTCTATATAAATCTGGCCCACCATTCTAGCTCTGCATTTTTCACACTTGTTTAGCCTGAGAAGTTGCTCTTGGATTGGTGGAGATCACACGATAATTCACTAATCACCTCTAAATTCCAGAAATCTTGAATACCCAGAGGGAGGTAACATCTCCCGTAGGAGGTGCTTAATGAACAGGTAAAGGTAAGAGCAAACAAGCCTGAGACCTTTTGGCAGCTTGCTGTGCTTGGATGGCAGACTGCTCTGTGTTTCTAAACAAGGCACAATGAGAGTTTGGCAGGGCAGATTCATTCCCTCCCCAAGTAAACTCACTGCTGTAAGAGCCAGTACACTGAAACTACAGCTCAACACGTTGCACCCATCAGTTATGTACACACTTTGGAAAAGGATGTGCATGTAAATGCTTCATAAGAGGGCAATTTTATCAATCTGCCAGCATGCTGGACAAGCGCTCTAGGAGGCTCCATCTGTTTGTTAGACTTTGAAGAAGAAGATCATTTTACACCAAATGGGAATTTTAGTCATGAAATATTCATGCCGCTGTCCTAATAAGATGTGGCAAACAAGAATTTCTGGCAAGTGCTCATCTTTCAATCACCATCAGCAATTGCTGTGTCTACAAACGCAACCTAGGAAGAGAGAACATCTGGCTACATGGAGTCTTGTGATCACTCTTCCCTAGATCCAAGCTTTCTTTAAGAATAAAGATGTTGACAGCAGTGTCATGACAACATTTTGTTTACTGGTACTTCTCTGGTATCTTAGATACCCCGTTTCTCCATCCTGGAGAGTGTTTTTCATTTTGAAACTGGTTTGTGTCCAACGTACAAGCTGATAGTTACCTCTTTTGTGGTACACTTCTCTCCTTCAGATTCCGTATATAGAAACTAGTGCCAAGGACCCACCTCTAAATGTTGACAAGGCCTTCCATGATCTCGTAAGGGTAATAAGGTAAACTGTAACACTTGTCGCAGTTGGTGCCTGTGGATGGAACATGCAGGAGTCCTGGGTTGGAGAGCGGGGAGGCAACGTTTGGGAGGTGGGGGTGAGATGGGCTGGCTGGGAGTAGTTGATTTCTGGGTTTTAGTAATCTTCCTTGTTCTGTATGTGCACATGACTGTTAACTAACAGGATGTTGCCTTTGTGAGATACTAGTGCTAGACAGTTTGAGAACTAGTTGTGACCATGACCAAAAAAAAGTTAGTCACTGAAGAAAGCAAAGCTTACTACAACAATTCGCTTTAAAAGGCCAGTGTTAAAAGCTGTGAGCCAGTAATGTGTTTTTTTATGGCTTTCTCATCTCAAGGTCTCATGTTGCCCTGAGTTTAAAGAGCTGCCTATTTTTTTTAATTTCATAGGTGAGTTTTACCATTTTCTGCTCACTAAATGGAAAAAATTAAGCCTTTTTGTATGAAAAACAGCATGATCTAATGGCTAAGCCACAGGTTTCCTCCTCAGACAGCAGAGGTTTGTTCCCAGTTCTGGCATGAGCTGCTTTTGTTCATTTTGGCAAATGCCTGCTCTCCGGGTGAACCCGGCTCCCATTGCTGTTGGCAAGGTACAGCTGTCCAAAATGCTGGCTGCCTCGCAGGAAAAGAGCTGCATGCACATCTCAGCATCTCGTTGATAACCTCAAATCTCTCAGAAGATTTGTTTTTCTGGCAGGGGTTGTCTGCCAGGTTTTTCTGGACCTTCATTTTTCATGTGTTGGGAGGGTGCTGAGCTGAAATAATGCTCCTCCCCACCATGCAGTCAAAGTGCCTTGGTTGGCAATTAAACCATGAGACATTTATTCACAACGTATCTGTACTTGTGAATATCTTAGCACAGCCTCGAGCCAGCCTCTATCAAAAGCAGATGGTACTGCCCACTCTTCCCACATATCTGAAAAGCAGGGGGCAGAAAATCTTTGGAGAACTACAGAGCAGAGTTGGAAATGTCCCAAGCTGTTTCCCAACTGTTCTGGAACTCAGCATTAGTTGGCTAGATATTACTTTTTGTTACAGCAAGCTCTTACCACAATCTATTCTACTCTAGGGAAAAAAAAAAAAAGAAACATAACAAAAATAAGATGGTGAGGCTCTGTTTGCTTTCTCTGCATAACGTGACTCCAGACACAGTCTGGATGGAGCACTGTAATGATACAGCACTAACTTTGAGCCCTGAAAATGTACTTCATAACCTAAAGTATAGGTGATCTACCTCATTCCCCGAAGTAGTTACAGTGAGGGTTATTGCTACCCATATGAAATTTTCTGTGGCATCAAGGACACCATGTGATTTGTCCCCCAGCTTTGTCTCATTCTGGTCCTGATAACTTGGTCCAAATGCTCAGCTTAATGCCTAGCACGTTGCATAGCAAAGAGGCTGATCTTAAACTATTCAAGCTCCAGGTTGGTTATTTAGGCTCTGAGTCAATGGAAACTGCCTATGTCTGCGTAGTTTATCTTGCAGTAAAACTTAAGTCCACAGACTGCCTGTCAGGTGTTTGAAATACACAGCCTGCTGTTGAATTGCAGTGCTGGACTGAGCTGAGTGGCTGATGTGATCAGGTACAGCTCCCCTAAAGTTTTTGATGCTATTACAGCTTGACAAGACTGAGTATTATATTTGATGGCACAGGACTGTCAGTGTAGCTGTTGAGGATCTGACGCAGCATTTCACCATCATTTCTGTTTAAACAGTATGACTGAGCAGTGCCTCATCTTTTAATGAGAAAGGAGAAGCCACCAGCATAACAGCAGATGAGATGAGGTTGCTCACAGCCCACCTGACTGATGAGGGCTTCTGCAGTATGGCACAGGTGGGCTGGCAGCTGTGTTTTTGGCGGCTATGGCTCCAGCCAGAATCTTCCTGGGGCAAGCCACAGAGAAGGGCACAGGGCGCATCCTGCTCCCAGTGCACTGGAGCTCATCACAAGTTCCGTGGGAGGCCAGAACCTTGCTGGCAGCAGATGCCATTTCTTTTTATGGAAAAACAAAATGCAAAACCATGTCCACATCAGTGGCTAGGAGACAGTGCCAGCTGAAACCAAATCCTTCCGGGACAGGCATCCTGTATCACAGAATTGTAGAATGAATCATGGAACCATAGAATGCCTTGAGTTGGAAGGGACATTAAAGAGCACCTAATGCCAACCCAGCTGCCATTCACTGGATCAGGCTGCCCAGGCCCCCATCCAGCCTGGTCTTCAATACCTCCAGGGATGGGGCATCCACAGCTTCTCTGGGTGATGGTTGATGTTGCATTTCTTGGAGCATCCCTGTTTCCCAAGTGAGTTGAGTAGCCCTCTGGTAGAGAAGCAGGTAGCAGTTCTCCCAGGGCGCTTGGAGGCACTGTGCCTTCTCAGGACATACGTCCCTACTCTTAGCCTTGATGTTTCTGTACGGCTGCTGTCCTCTTTCCTTGAAAACAGAGGCGATGATTGTTAGCTGTGTGGTGTGATAGTCCACGTGTTGGTGGAAGGGGTGTATGGGAGTATATGTGTTTATGCCCCAGTCAGGTGTCTGACCCAGCCTTGTGGCTGCTGGCCTCACCTTATTCCCCTTCCTCCCTCCCTCCCTCCCAAAACAGGCAACAGATCCCGGAGAAAAGCCAGAAGAAGAAGAAAAAGACCAAATGGAGAGGGGATCGAGCCACAGGCTCCCACAAACTCCAGTGTACAATTTTGTGACGGGGCACCCAGGAGCACCTTGGACATCTCCCTCCTGCTCCCAACCCACCATGACCTGAGGCTCCCAGAGGCTCTGGCTCGGAGGAGGTGGCTCGAGGGGTCTGGACCCCAGCAATCAGCTAGAGGGGCTCCTCGTGGGGCTGCATGGAGCAGTGCTAGCAGGAGGTGGAAAGGAGCAGCAGGACTTTGATGCTCGGACATTCCCAGCTCCTTCCAGAGGCCTCCATGGTGTGTGTTTAAAAGAAAAAACAAAAGTGTTGGTTTTATCTGCAAACATTTCTCCTTGTGACCCTTTTATGAGCAGCCATGAATAGACCCATTTGGTACAGTCGTGTGTGTATGTGTGGGAGAAGGGAAAGGGCTTTTCTTTTTTTTTTTTCCTTGTCCTCTTTTTTTTTTTTTTGTCGTTTGCTCAGCAAGCGTTGGGTTGCAGAGAAACATGGCTGGGGTTAGACTTTTTGCACTGAACTCTTTCTTACGCAGCAGTGCCAAAACACAACTTCATATGAAAGTGCATAGATTTGAAGGAAGAAAATGAATTCCAGCTGCTCTGGGTGCTCCAGACATTGTGTCAGACTCTGGAGGGCAGCCAGCTCACAGACCATAAACTCCAGCTTAGAAAAGGGGGTTTGGGCTTGGATATATTTTTTTCCTACCCTTTGTCAAGAGGTTTTATTTCTGTTTTGTAACTTGGAGCATGTCAAAGTTAAGATGTTTTGTTAACCTGGAAGTATTTAAATTAAAGTAATTTACAAATGCAAGGGTATGGCATCTTTAAGGGGTTGAGGGGAAGGAGAGAGGAAGTAAAAAGTGAACTGAGTTTGTTATCTGAGTGTTGAATTTCTGCCTTATAAATGCGTTTAAAGTGGTGTGATCTAAATCCTTCTTTATTATTCCTTAACCTTTCCCTGCAATCCACTCTGGGGTAGATGAATTGTTTTGCTTTTCCCAGGCTCATCTTGCACTCAGACGAAAAAAATCTGTTTATGGGGCTTTGGCTTAATATTTCTTCTTCTTCTTCTCTTCCCCAAGAGTTGATGACTGGAAAGGAAGAGGTGTTTTAAATGTGGTTCAAGTGGGATGTGTCTCTTCATAAGCTTAGTGTGTCTGAAATGTTTCACTGAAAACAGCAGAGACTAAATATTTTTGCCTTATGAAAAGGCAAGGCAAAAAAACCGCACCCGTTCAGGCTGCCAGAAAGATGATTGTGCACATCCTGGAGGAGCCACGTTTTTCTTTCACACCTTTACTGGCAGTCAGGATTGTAGTGGTGATTTTTTTTTTTCTTCAATTTAATGGATTGTTATCTGCTGGACCGAAGCCATCAGCTCAATTCATGGGGTCACTGACCTCCTTTGAAAGTAACAACTTGCTTTTCATCAGGTTGAATCCTATTCAAATATGCTTTATTGGCATGTCTTAAAATATTGGCAGAGCATGAATGCCTGAGAGATGTGTGTCTGAGAACAGCAGATCGTGGCACTGGATATTGAAGACTCATAGAAGGTGGTGGATCATCACAAACTTAATTGTTTGTATTTGTCTTTATAATCTGCTGTTGGATTTCATTTCTTGACTCTTTGCCAGGCCACCTTGTGGGAGTTGGCTGCTGGTTGTGTTTCAGGTGAGTTGCAGCTAATGAAAACATCTTCCTCATTTGTCCAGTCTTTGTTACAGCCAAAAGACAGCAATTGTCTCAGCAAGCTGCTTAGCATAATTCCGGCTCAGCTGTCTCCATCCTCTTCTGTGCAATGACAGATGCTGGGGATAGATTGAGGACGGGGATAGTGGAAAGAAATATTTCTCTTGGACCCTCATTTTGGACAGAGGTCTTATGCTTCAGTAAAGCTGCAACATCCAGTGTCAGCTGAGAGCTGGCTGCAGCCCGTCCAGCACTTCTCCCTCCCTGGTTTTATCCTTGGCTGAAGCACAGTGACTGAAGCATCCGGGTCAAACCCTGGCCCTTGGGACCTGCCAGTGTCTTCTGGGGGTGGATCTCCTTGCAGGCATCACGTTCACATTCTGCCTTTGAGAGGCATCAGATGCTTTACAACCAAGGCAGCTTGACGTTGGCCCCATTGTTGCTTTACTGTTGGAGTCCCTGTCTAGTCTGAGTACAGGCTTAGTTTGTTTAATTACAAACAATTGACCTGTGAGATCCCCCGTGCAAGCGGTTGATGGCATTTTCAGGGAGCCCTGCTAATACCTCCTAGAGCCCTTCCACTTAAAAATAACCTGATTTCTGCTGAAACTCCTCATCTTTATAATTTTGTCTAGACCCTTGGGAACGCTTGCCTGAAAACAGCATGTGAGCATCTCGAGTCACATCTGTGGGGTACTCAGCTCTGCATGTGGGAAATTGTCTGCTTTTTCTGAAGCATCTTAATTGTTCCTTCAGCTTCTTTACCAACTAACAGCTACTGCAGAGTAGATAGGGAGGAGGGGAATAGAACAAATTAACAACCGAATAGGTGTAATGATAAGGCTCAGGGGGAGCATGCTCTGATTTATCCACCTTGATCAAACTGTTAGAGCACTGAAGGGATACAAAGCCTATTGCCATGTACATCACTCTTTTGCATTCTTGGCTGTTCTAGTCCAAGAGTACCCTTCCCCCATCTGCAGCACATGGAACCTGATCGGTCTGATGGTTCAAGAGAGCAGTGTCTCAGCCAAGGCAAAGCTGCTGAGCGAGAGTGTGCTACATCTGAATAAACTGTGTTCAGATGATGGTGCTCAGCAGGAAAACAGCAGAGATAGGGAACAAGATGACAGCAAGAGCTTAGTGGGAGGCTGGGATTGCTTGTTTTGGATCAGATTCTTGCATTAAACAAGAGGCCATTGCACTGCATTGCTGTTCCTTAATCTGCCATAATTAATTTTGGCTGATTCTTAAAACCTACAGCTGTACTAGAATTTGTAAACTGGGCTCGGCTGAAGGTTTTAGGCATGCATTGTGCATCTGGGCTCAAGAGGAAATGAGCAGACAGCACTGGTAGGCATGGAGAGGACAGCACTGAAGTACTGGCATGGACTTTTTTGTGTTTGTTGTTTTTTTTTTCTTTAATTATTATTACCACAGTGCAGCCAGAACTGAGACTGTCCAGAGCCTTGCTCAGCCCCACTGATTTTTGAGGGATGGTTGGTAAATGCTGCTGCAGTGTTTGGGAACTTCAGACAGTTGCCACAGAGCTTCAAGAGTGGAGTATGGGATATAGGAGTTTAAGAGGCACAAGTGGTGGGCTGTGCTGAATGTTCAGCTATGTATGGGCTAGAGAGGGGTCTAAAGAGGACAGAAGCTATCCAAACCAAAGTAACAACCATCACATCAACGGATATACATCAAATTGGACAGAAGAGATCTGTCTGGAAGCACACATTCTTTTAGTTGGGGTTCAGTGGCCAAGCTACTCTATCGACTACAGGTTAGCTGACAGGCAGAGCTTTAGTGCATGTGGAAAGTGCTGCAGCACATCTACACATCCAGCTCTGCAGCAGAACTGAGGCGAAGGACGCAGCTGCTTGAGGAGCGCTGCAGGACTGGGATGTAGCTCCCTGTGTGGGGATGGGAGCTCTGCTGGGGCCAGCGGTCAGGTAGGCTCCATTCTGTGTCTTGTGTGTATTTCACATCACTGGAGATGCCACGGGACATCCAAGGCATCTGCTGGGACTTTCAGATGGAACAGAGAGGTCTATACCATTCTGGAACAGCAGCCAGGTAAGACTGATGAGCAATGGCTCTATGGGTGTATCTTCAGGCAGCTGTGTGCACTGAGAAAAGTCTGTGGGTGCTCTAGCTCCTCTTCTGCAAAGTCATCTCACCTGATTTATATGGACTCACCAGTGTATCAGAGCAAATTCTGAAACAGAAGTCATCAATTTCATGACCTGTATTAACTGCATCTTGCAGCCCAAGCATTCTTGTGGATATCACTTGCACTTGTGAATAATTCAGTGTTTGGCTATCAGGGATTCCACTGATACTATGCAGGCTTTTTTCTTCTTCTTCATGTGAGGGCAATAAATATTTTATGGATGATCCCACAGGCACGCTTTTGCATTGCTGGGATGACATGGGACTTGCCTGCAGCAGTGTGGTGCAACAGCTCTGGATCCCCAGAGGGGAGAGCCAATGCTGTGGCACAGCAGTGTGCTCCGGGCTGGCTTTTGTTCCCACTGCTGTGACAAATGAGGAACAGCTGAGGGAACTGGGATTATTCAGTCTGGAGAAGAGGAGGCTCAGGGGAGACCTTATGGCTCTCTACAACTGCCTAAAGGAGGTTGTGGTGAGGGGGAGGTCAGCCTCTTTCTCACAGGTAACAGTGATAGGATGAGAGGGAATGGCCTCGAGAGGTTCAGGTTGGAAATTAGCCAGAAATTTCTCTCAGAAAGTGGTAGTGCACTGTCCAGGGAGCTGGTGAGGTCGCCGTCCCTGGAGGTGTTGAGAACCACGAGGATGAACCCCATTGAGGGTCATGGTTAGTGGTCATGGTGGGGCTGAGATGATCGTTGGACTGGATGATGTTAGAGGCCTTTTCCAACCTCAGTGATTCTGTGATTTTATGAAATTCCTGCTGCTCCCCTCAGCTCCGCAGAGCTCGCCCACAGGTGGCTGTGGGGTTGGGCAAGAGAAATGCACGGGTACTGCCGGGGAGAGGCAGGAGGAAAACTCACCATCGGCGTGCCAGGAGCACAGCACGCCTCTTTGCATCTCAATAGCCCACGCCTCCTTAGAGCTAGAGCTTTGGCACAGGGAAGCTGCTGGGCAGCCCGGGTACATGCTGGTATGGCAGGGCATTCTTCTCTGCGAGCTCCTTAATGAGCTGTGTTTCAAACAGCATTCCCCAGGATGCGAACTGACGAAAAGCAGGAAATTCAAAGTGAAGGCTGATGCGCCCGCTCTGCTCGCACCATTGTGGCGGCCGAACAAAGCACAATGGTGTGAGCTGGGACGGGCGCTGGCCGGCCCTCCCAGGGAGCTTCCTGCCATTCCCTCATCCTGCTTCCCTAAGCTTCCCGAGAGCCCAAGCCGTGTTCAGGCACTGAATTTCCCACAGAGCCGCTCACAGAGTTTTATTCCCACGTTCTTGTGCAGCGCAGGGAGGGCTGCCCATCTCTTTTTGGCCAGGGAACTCTTTTTGGAAGGGTTCTGTGTGCGGTAGGGGGCCTTGCTGAAGGACACCGTTTGTCCAGCACAGCCTGCATCTAGCCCTTGGGGTAGGGTTAGCACCAGCCGGACCGGTGCTATGGGGAGGAAGGCAGAGTGTTTTCAATGGCTTTAAGTTGCACGAGGGGAAGCTCAGGATGGGCACAGGCTGCCCAAGGAGGAGGTGCAGGCGTTGTCCATGGAGGTGTTGAAGAGTCATGGAGATATGGCACTAAGTGGTCAGTGGGCATGGTGGGGGTGGGTTGGGGCTGGACTGGGTGATCTTAGAGGTCTTTTCCAACCTTAATGTTTCTATGATTCGATGTCTTATTGCCCAACTGCAGGCTTAGTGAGCCCCAGCAATGAGCTCAGCTGGGTTTCCTTTTACTGTGACCAGTGTGGGGTTGTAGCAGTCAAAAATCCCCAGATAGCTAAACATCAGAGAAGCTGTCTTTAACTCCTCCATCATTTGTGTCCCTTTGGAGGGTGGGAGCAGTACTGCCCAAAAATGCAGGTAGAAAGTTATTGAAAAGGGGGGAATGCTAAAGGGGAGCTAAGCACTCTTCATGTGTGTTAGTGAGAGGTGCTCTCTGCTGGTTCTGTGACAGGAGAGAAGAACACAGACAGACAAAAAAGAAAGGAAAAGTGGAGGAGACAGCTTCCAAGCAAACAGATCTCAAA